TCTCTCTCTCTCTCTCTCTCTCTCTCTCTCTCTCTCTCTCTCTCTCGCTCTTCTCTCGTCTTTTTCTCCTTCCTCCTTTCTCTTTCCTCCACTCTCATGCTCTCTCGCCCGTCCGTTCTCTTTGTCGTCATTTCTCGCCCTCTGTCATTATTGCTCCCACTCCCTCTCTTTCCTTTCCCCCCCCCCTCCAGGATAGCACGGACGCCCTGAGTGGAGACGACGAGATGGTGGTGGTCGCCCGCATGGTGCTCCTCGTCGCCGAGAGCGCCAACAAGCCGGGCCAAGACGGCGTCTCCTCAGGGGCGTCATCCTCGGGGGTACCGCCGGAGGCCACAGCCGGCGGCGGCGAAGAGAGGGAGAAGGAGGGGATCGAGCACGGGGATATCATGCAGGCGCTGTCTGGGGCGCACCTCCGAGAGATCGGGATCGCCATCAAGGAGGCTAGGCCGGGGTGGCAGGAGGCTCACGTCCAGGTGAGGATGCGCGTGTGTGTTGTGGTTGTGCGGGGTGGCGGCACTCGTTCTGATTGGTGCTTGTGAGGAAGCTTGCGTGTGTGTTGTGGTTGTGCGGGGAGGGCGCAGGTTCAGGTTGGCTTCTTGTGAATTTCAGGAGGCGTTTGGGTTCTGAGTTTTTTTCGGGGGGGGGGGCGCACGGTCAGGTTGGTTTCTTGTGCTTTTTAGGAAGCGTGTGTTGTGGTTTCACGGGGGGGTGGCTGCTCGTCCTGCTCCACGAGTCGTTTTGTCGTCCTTGTTGCGTCGGCACTCTCCGCGGTAGTCTTTTGAGTCCTATACCGAGTCCCACATGGAGTGTTGTTGGTGTGAGTGTCTGAGAATCGGGGCGTTTCGGCCGAGCAGACACAAGTTTTCTGTTTTCTGTGGCGTCGGCGTGGGGGGGCATACTTGTTATTTGTAGGACCGCCTTCGTGAGAAACTCAGGAAGTGAGGAAATAGAACAGGAAGGGGTTACGCAGATCGTATATCCCTATCCCTGACCCTCACCCAATTTCCCCGATTGCATGCTTTATCCGACTTGTTTGCCTGACCCCCCCCTCCTTTCTCTGTCCCTCTGTCCCTCTCCGCCCGCCCCCCCCNCCTGTGCGCAACTTTCAAATGGTGTGTGCCCTGCCGCCGCCGCCGCCGCTGCCGATGTCGACGACCGTGACCGGGTGTGGTGATGGTTCTCAGCTGGTGTCAGTGTTGTTGGTGATGGCTTACCTAGAAGAAGGGGTCAAGAATACGCTTCCTGGTGGCGACAGACCCGATCCCCTCAGGTCTCGTGCACTTTTTTGCTCTCTTTTTTTTTTTTCTTTCTTCTTTTGACACCCACAAATCCATGTCCTTTTTTCCAAATTTTTTGTATGATCATGAGCGGCCGCAATCATGGACCTCTAGTGTTGGCTGAGGCTTGGTTCATTGGGTGCTGATACGAACGGGCGTGATGTAGGCTTTTGTGTACGAGTTTCACAAGTAGAAGTCCTTAGAGGCTTTTGTCAATTTGTCAAAGTTGTTATGATATGTGCGGGCGCTAATAGTATTTGAGATGGTTTCACCATCGTGACTACCCACCCCACGACGGGGCCGCACGCCTGGGATGTTGTAGCCATGCCGTCTCTCTCACCCCCAGTCGTGAATGTTGTGTTTGACCCCCCTCTCAGCTTGCGCCTTTGATCGCACCAATTCTCCATGCTCAAGTCCCCTCCTCCAAACCCATCCCAATCCACGCCCCCCCCTCTGGGTCACACGCCTGAAGCTCTTGAGCCCTTGGGCCTCTCGCAAGCAAAAGCACCAATGGTTCCATCCACGTTATTGACCCCCCCCCCCCCCCGCGC